GTTATTCATTAGCACTCCAACACACCTCTCAACAGGTGTGTGCTGCAGTACAGCAATAACAAAAGTAAGCCAGAAGTTTCACTGCATGTTACTGCAGTACAGCACATTGCGCTGCTACGCAACCCAGTGAGAGATGCATTGGGGTGGCTTTGATAATAAAAAGGCAAAGCAATGCATTAGTGTTAGCGAAAATTTCGGCTGAAACATATCGGCCGAAAATGCCATCTTTTGGCCAAAATAGCGGTCCTACTTTCTATCCTCCCCGTTGGGCACTGCTCTGTGTCCCAGCAGGGAAGAGAGAAAATGTCACAGGAGGCCGAGCGCTCTGAGCAGCCGGCATCTCTCCTCCCCGCACCGCTCAGCCTCCTGTCACAGATCAGGAGAGCGGCCATTTGGGCGGAGCCAGCTGTCACAGGAGGCTGAGCCGACGGTGCAGGGGAGGAGCCAGCTGTCAGAGAAGATCGAGCACTCATCCCCACACCACTCGTGCAGCCTCCTGTGACAGTGTCAGAATGGAGAGCGGGTACAGTCAGTGATGGCTATGTTTACTGTGTCCCCAATTATGAATGAATGAATGGGAGTGATCTACATCACTTCCTCTTCATTCATGATTGTGAACACAGTAAACATACTATTTCCACAAGGTATGAACAGTAAAGTCAAAAATAAAAAATAAAAATAAAAATCTAAAAACAAATTAAAACGTTTATAAAAAATAAAATATTTTTTTTTAAATAAGAAAAATTTGAAAAAAAAACAAAAACAAATTTTCAGTTTGTCTTTTTTTCCCATTCTGGTTTCGTTTTTTGAAATGTTCATTTTGGTGCTCCTCTAATTAGCGCACCTAGCACGCAATACTGTGCGCTGAACGCACAAATCCCATACGTTTGGTGCAATGCTATGGGTGAACCCGCTATCAGTGTGTTCCTTAAGCCACATTTGAGCATAGTCTGATGAGAGCATGGACCTTCCCTTTCTTCCAGGCCAATTTCTACAGTGCAAGGCTGGAAATCAAGACTGATTCAGCTATTTACATTTTCATTTAAATAGAATGCATATTTAATGCAATGCACACAAAAAACTGCACTCAGTAGCTTTTTTCCATCTGCCAGGAGTCCAGCTTTATACACTGGCCGGCTAAACTGCCTCAAAGGAGCATTGTTCTTCAAAGCGAAGGTCTAGAATTACAGAAGTCAGCATTTCAACTATGACAACAAAACCCTGTGAATGCAGATTACCCTACCTCACTATCAGGCTCCAATATTCATCATCCCGCTCATGTGAAGCGGTCTTCTAGCTGCTCTTTGTTTTGCTGCAGTGTTTACTGTTGGAAAATGTTTGATGAGGTTTCAAGTAAATATTAGAACTTCAACTTCCTTAGATTACATGATCTGAAGTAGTGCAGATCAGGGTCTGGCTGCTGGGTTTCACTGGAGGAAGTGATGGAGTTAAGTGTTCTATATCCTTCCAGATGGAGAGTTTAAGGTTAGAAAGAGGAACTAGAAAAAAAACAAGACTACCGTGCTGTGCGGATATCTGAATATCAAGAGACACAAAAGTAAATCTATATAAGAAAAAAAGGTTACCAAAATAGAGTCAGACAACCTTCTACGTAAGCATTTCCGGTCACCTTGAGGATTTTGCTTACAATATTGTTTGCGAAGGAAGAAAAAAAAAAAGTAACATCGTGAGGGTTCATATGACCAGTTCAAAATCCAGCAAAACAGTCCTTAAAAGTCTCATATCAGGGAACAAATTGGGGAAACCGCACACTTGGTACTGTGTTCAAGTGCAAATGTCAAAACAATTTCAGCATTAGTTCAAAATGACCCAATACAAGCCTTAGGGCTTGTTCACACCAAGCGCGTTCCAGGAGCGGAGCAGTTACAGACCGGATCAAAACTGCGTCCAATGTATTCCAATGGTATTTTGGGCTCTAGTTCACTCCGCAGCGTTCAGTTACAAACATGTAAAAAAACTGCAGCAAGCCCTATTGTACCTGCTATGGAACGCATGCAAACACCCTGGAACTCACTGAAAGCCCATTTTAACCACTTGCTGGCCGGGGTGTTTATACCCCCTTCCTGTTCAGGCCATTTTTCAGTATTCAGCGCTGCAGTACTTTTAACTGACATTTATTCCGTCAAGCAACGCTGTACTGAAATGAATTTTATACCATTTTTTGGGGACAGATAGAGCTTTCATTTGGTGGTATTTAATTACCACTGGGTTTTTAATTTTTTTACTATATAATGAAAAAAGTACCGAAAATGTGGGGGGCAAAAAACGGTTTTCCCTACGTTATGTTATAAAACAGTTATTACCCAAATTTTTGGCAAAATATAAAAGTCGGGGACATGTCGGGTAGATAGACACCAAACATGTTAAGCTTTAAAATTGCGTGCGTCTGCGAACTCGCAAAAACTACCATACCCAAAATTGGCCATAGGCGACGCTTTAAAAGCTTTTAAAGCTCATCAGTTTAGGGTTATCAGTGATTGATGGCCCTAGAATTATTGCTCTCACTGCAACGTTCACGGCGATACGCAACATGTGCGGCGTAATGGATGCAATCGTCGTTTACGCACTTAGGCGCACTCGGCGCATGTTTGCATGTTTATGTGGGGGGCGGGGGACTTAAAAAAATGTTTTACATTTTTTTTTATTACCTTTATAGGTGACTTAATTTTTTTTTGTAACCAATTCTTTTTATTTTTTCACTTTGTGATAGCCAATTTCCATTGGCAGGTCCTCTTTATGGAGACATCAGGGGTCTTTAAGACTCCTAACGTCACCTAGGGACCCCCAGAGAAGCTGCTTCACCAGCTTCTCTCCGGTTTCTGTACCGGAGAGTGACACTGAATGCAGACAGTGATGTAATACACATCATTGCCTGCATTCAGAAGCGGAGAGGAGATCAAACAGAGCTTGTGTACTGAGCTCCGTTTGATCTCCGGCCGCAGAGCTGCTGTGCTGGTCCCGGGCTCGCACCGGGAACAGCGGAGCTCGGGATCGCCAGCAGCGGCGGAGGGGGCGCACACCCGCATGCACATTACAAGCGATCGGGTGTCTCTACAGACGCCCGAACGCTTGTACGTAAACAGCCATCGCTGGCTGTTTACAGTGCAGGCTGAATTCCCACTCGTGCCCACCGCCAAGCTGCGGGCATGAGCGGGAAAGGACGTTTAAAAAACGCCCACCCACATTCAAGCCGCCGTCCGGCCGTTTAATTACAACAGGCATCCCACCATATTCCCTGAACCCCTGTGGAAACCAGACTATGTTCGCTGGACACAATAAGATGCCCAAGTATCAAGTGTTTTTACACATCTGCTCAGCAAAGGATTTCGATCTACTTGGGGTACCCTACACACTTAAGAAACAATTTCTCCTAAGTTCTTTATCTCTTGCAGTGTGGCCACCCCCACACTGGAAGTGTAAAGTGTTCATTTTGGTCTATGTGCAAAAATAACAAAAAGGTATACTCACCCAGACCTCAAAGCCAGCTGGCTGCTAAGAGTGCTCCCTCAAGCCTCTCTCCTCCTCTGATGCAGAGATAGTATGTTCTTTTTCGACGGCCTCATGTCCAATACATCTATAGGGCATGATAACTCATGGGACCTTAAACTGCTGGAGCAGAGGGGAAAGAGAGGCTGGAAGGACCGCTCTAAGAGCCAGGTGGCTCCCAGGATTGGGTGAATGCAATTTTGTTATTTTTGCACCTAGACCAATACAAGCACATAGCTCTTGTAGTGCAGGGATAGTTAAAAAAAAATTCCCAGAAATTACAGCTTGGCATTGCATGCACCACCCCTGTAAGGAGGTGTGCTTGCTAAATGTTGTCTGTATATGTCAAGTCTCAGTGGTGATAACACAAATACCAAGTCTTGCAGAGTAAGCTTTGCGAGCTGCACATACATGCACGACAGGGACATCCACTCTGTGATGGCTTCATGGCACTACACAAATTCATAAGATCATTTTAATATTTTAAAATGAGTTTACCAAGCAGCCCTGAAAATGTCATACAATGAACATACATCTTTTCCATCAAGTTCAAAGAATAGGACAACGGTGGAAAGGCAAAAAAAAAAAAAAAGCCTGAATACCACCCATTGGATAGATGACAATTATCTAGTTCATGAAATTATACAATCAGCTGATAAGTTACCAGCAAATCCTCTGTAAAAAGACCATATACAACATTTAGGGCACCCATAAATGTACACCAAAACCATCTATAAAAAACTTTACTGTCACTTGTCCTAAAAGAATGAAGCATGTAAAAACTAGGTCATCCATATCACATGATACAAACACGGCCTCATTTATTAAGGTAGCAAAAAAGTTGAAGCCACTATGTGTAAACGACAATAATACAATTGTCATTTTGCCCAGAGTGTGTGGCTTTAAGCATGAAATGGAGCCTTCTGTATACTGGAGGAATGGTAAATGTGTTGCCAATAGTAAACAGTTTTCCGCACTGGGTTAAAAAAAGACAACTGCTTATCATTTTCTTATATTATTAAACATGATCTTTTAAACATCCAACTCCATATTTAGGTTACCTACACAGCAGCCACTAGATTCGTAGAAGACAACACCGTGATCCAATAAGACTCTATAACATTGCTCAACACTGCCTGACCAGCTTTCATTCACAAGAAGCTCACATGTGAAATAGTGAAAGTCAATAGTTACACATGGTTAACATGACTAGGTTTGGTACACGGCACTAAATTCTGGAAAGTGTCCTGTATTCCCCTACACCTGAAAGTACCATGCCTTTTTACTAGGGTATGGCAGTGCATGAAGTGAAAGAGCTCTGAAAAAAGGTATGGTGCCTGCTATGACATTGAAGTGTTAGTTCCTTTACTTGCGACTCAGTACACCATACCTCCTTTGCCCAAATTCCAGACAGTTTAACAGCATCTAATTGCAGGAAAATACACTGACAACTATTTACCATTTCAAAAAGAAAACAAGATTGGCCATCTTACCTCTTCTAATTCAAAAGACTCCTTTGCCTGCGTTAGAAGACTTGCAATTGAAGGATTTGGGGCAAATAGTTCCTTGTCTGGGGTGGATGTCTGTGGATTTTTTTCTGTTAGGTAATTCTCACAATCCTGATCAGTGGATACACTCAAATCTTTAAACCCAGAATCTGCGATTTGTGAAGACATATACTCAACTGAGTTCATGGAGGTTTCTTGCGGTTTAATGCTGTTGGGTTCACGCAAAGGGTCCACGTCAACACCATTTTCTTTTGGACGGGTAGAAATATCATGACCATTCAAATCTGTTGCAAGTAAAGATGAGGCTTCCTCTTTAACTGTAGCAAGAGGTGACAAATTCTTTTTGAACAGCTTCTGTGCCTTCAGCTCATTTTTACTTCCTTCCTCTTCATTATTCTTCGATAACTGCCCTCCGTCATCTGGAGACTGGACAGAATTGGCATCCCCTGCTGCTCGACATAAATTAAGTTTTGATAAAGTCTCCATTAGTCTAGCGGCAGTCTGGCTGGAAGCCCTAGTAAGAGGTGCTGGTTTGGTGGGTTCCACAGTAGTAGATGTTGTTAGAGATTTGGAGCTGCCTATTCGTTGGAGCGGAGTTCCAGAAACTTGAGAATATAATGACGAAAATGCGTTTGCAACATCTGTGAGAACTTTAATCTGACGAAAACGACCTGGATAAAAGAAAGGTAAATGTTAGAAATGGAACAGAAAAATTAGTAGTTTCAGTCTGTAAATTCATATACCTAAAGATTCACAGACACATTTTAACTTGTATTCATTAATTTTTATTAACTTATTAAAGTTGCAATCCAGTATAGAATTTTAAAATCCTTAAAAATAAAACGCCTTTCCGATTTAGTCTGTAGCCAAACATTTTATGCTAATTTTCTTTTAGGCATAGTTATGGATCAATGCACTTTAATATGTTAGGCCTACCATTAAAAAAAAAAAAAAAAAATACTAAAAATATACCCAGATTTAAAGATGAACTCCAGGCAAACAGTTAAATTCATATATAGGAACTGTTTTACCTACTAAAGGATTTGTATTTTGTGCATTAAGTACTGAGATTTACACAGCTCTGCCAAACAGCACAGTCCTGCCCGAGTTACGTGATATTTCTTCTTCTGCAGTTTCACGTTCACTTACAGGTCTCTTCTGCACCCCCACCTTGTGACTGGACAGTGGAAGAAGCAGCAGACTGATGAACTTACTGAATAAAAGATTACTTTGTTGAATACTTTTGCACTTCCCTCCCATCAGCAAGTTCTTTTATATCCGATTGGCTCCTGTCTTGCTTCACCCTCCCCCTCTCTGACCTCTGCTGTACAGGGATTACATGCAGAAGGCTGATTCCAAGCCAAAGATCAGATTACAGCACTTGTTGAGGATACCGTTGCAACTAAAGGCTCCTGTTTGACAGTTTAAACAACTACCAAATCATGTAACTATGATACACAAGTTTCAAAATAAAAATAATTATCTTCCCTGACTGCGCCAATTGTTTTTTTTTCATTTTTGTGTGTCACACACTCCCCCTCCCGGACACTGCACCCCACTGTGGGAGGGTTTCATGAACAGGGGCAGTGCTGGCAATCCAGAGAGCAGTGACAAGGTCTAGGTGTGGCTAAATGCTGACTGACAATCTACAAGCTTATGAATCAGCATTGACAATACTGACAGCAACTTGCAGTTTCTTTTTTTTCATCCCACTGTAGTGCAAGTAGGCACAGCCTACATGAGTGGCAAGTCTGCTCTAAATTCAGGAGCAGTGCAGCATTTTTGCTACTCTATCACAGGAAGTTGCGTTAGGTGGGCTTCGCTGGCAGGATCAACAGGTATTTGTGAGACTTTGCAGAGGGGCTAAAAGAAAGACTAAGTGCAGATTAACTTAAAATTTTTTTTTGTCAAGCCATAGGTTTTACTTTAAGGCTTTGTTAATGATTACAGAACTGCATTCATTTGTGCATTTTAAATCTGCTCAGAGTTCAGCTTTAAGCATTCATTTTTAATTAACAGAAGTAAATAGAGCTTTTAAAACTTTAAAAACCAAGAAAAAAAATTAGAATTTTAAAGATATTCCCATAATTGGAATTACTGTCCTTTTAGCTTTACAATTAAGAACAAGAATCCTGAGGCATTATTTCAGCAAATGGCAGGTTAGCCATTTAAAAAAAAAAAAATAAACTTACCAATGTTTAAAAGGTATATAAAGTGCATCTACAAAAACAAAAAGGAGATCTTAAATGCTATAGAGCGATGGTTAAGCGATTACAAATAAAATATCTTCATCCTGAGCTAGTCACTTGTGTAACGTGTATGCCTAAAGTAAGCTATACACGCAGCAGATGAACCACAAGAAATTTGCGGCACGGGTGCCGCTGTCGGCACCCTTCTGCCTAGCATCCCTCTATCAGCCGATTGAAGCAGCAGGTTGGATAATTCTTGGCAGAACAGAGTTAGCAGCCAAACAGCTACTAGCTCCATTCGGGTATTCTGACAGTCAACGGCCGCAGTCAGATTACAATGGAAACTGCAGGGGATTCCTCGACGCATCAATGCTCATAAGCTTTAGTCATTGCAGCTAGAAGTCACATAGTTGTAAGACATTTGGGCTTGACTTTAGCAACATATAAGATTGCTATAGCCAGTGTCCCTATGCACAATTACATATTTTGCTAGGTTGAAAAGAAATATAAAAGGTGCTCTGTTGACCCCTCTCCGCTCTACAATAGTCAATATTTCCAATGGTGTTCAATGTGAATGGGGGAAATCAAGTGTTTTTTCTCCTTCAGGCCACTGGGCTAAATAAGAACCACCAGTGTATGGCCAGTTTAATCTGAGCAATCCTCTGGTATACAGTAAGATCTACTTCGTTTTTGTTCGCACATCAATCAATATGAAAACTTTTAACAAGGCAAGAAAGTTTCAGTATTGTGCAACTAAATGAAATTTCACTGTTGGGCAGCAGTAAAATGTGTGTAACTAAGCAGGAACAGGTACCAACCTTATGGGGGGGGGGGAAAAAAAGAGAGATAAACAAGATAATCAAATGTGAGCAAAATGCTAGGACAATCCAAGACAATTCACTTCAGCAGAAAAGTCATAAATTCAGTTCATTTACCTTTAACCCTAGGTTTTATTTAAGGTGGCAATCCAAGGAGCTTCACAGCCATAATACAGTTTTACTGTACATGTACATAAGAGAATCCATCCATTCCAGCTTCAATAAACACCCATGTTTTCATCTGTCAATGTCTCAACGTCATCCCCTCTATCCAGTTCAATGACTGAAGCTGAAAGCCAAATAAAACTATATATATCTATCTATATCTATATCTATCTATATCTATATCTATATATCTATATATATACACACACAAGAACCCAGATGTAGCAGAGTGATGGGGATGTGTAGGGTGGTAAAGATATGTAATATACTGGACCAGCTGAACAGAATAGGTCCTTTGGCTGGTGAAAACATGGCTCCAATTCATTTATTTTATATAAATGCCAAGAGCTTTTAGCGTCTCAGAGACAGGGCAGTGCTGAGGCCAGGAAATTACTGTGTGTTATTTAAAGTGACAGTACATTCAGGAGTTAAAATCTTAAAAATGCATTCAGGTATCTTAACTATAAACAAAACTAGTTTGTTTATTTATTTATTTGTGTATCACTCGGCTACAGATCCTCAAATCATCTCTGAATTGGTGATGACACTGTCCGTCCTTCTGGAGGGGGGCTACTTTTGCTCCCCATGGTCCCTGTGTGTGTTGTAAAGTAGTCACTGCTCCAAGCTCACTCCCGTGATGGACTGCAATCTCAAGTTTAGTTTACCAATTTGTATTGAGGTTGTTACTACTACGTGCAGTTACTAAATTTAGCATTTGCGGGTGCAATGCACAGGCTCTTGAACGGTTTACCCCCAGTTCCAGGTGAGGACAGAAGTCTGTATTTTCTGTTATGGAGGAAGTTCTGAAAGAGCTACAATTGCACTTGCTTCACTGCACTGCTGCTGGCACGCTCTGTCGAGTTCCTCTGCTTCAGTGGCAGATGGGACTTGCATTTTCATTAATCGATCTATGGGAATTGAAGGACTGTGGAGAGAGCCGTGCACAACTGTACTGAATTCAAACAACCACCCACAGTAAAAAAGGTGGCCATACACTTTACAACCATCACAAGACCTTAGTCTTGCGATGGTTGTTAAGTAATTTTAAAAAACGCACGATCTGCCCATCTTGGACAGGCAGATGGTACTTGCGATCATCGCAAGCCCACCCTGCTGAGGGGCGAGCTTCCGATGACCGTAATGCTGAACGGTTAGTGTGCGCACAACGGCCCGTTCGGCATTTGTCTCCCGAGCATGCCACAAACCAGCTGAAAATCGTATGATTTTCGGCTGGTTTTCGAACATGCTCCTTAGACAAAAGACGTGCGACCGTACAGTAAAAACAGTTGCACGCCTTCCATACACTTTGCGATTATCGTACGATCGCGGGATTTCCAGCGATTATTGTGCGATAATCACACAGTATATGGGCATCTTAAAAAGCACCGGGCGATTCCGGTAAAGTGGAGGGGGGATGGTGTAGGCAGCCATGCTTCACGTTATACCCTAAATATGGATGAAACATGATCTATAGAGTGGACTATTTTTTTAAGCTCAAGCTGAGGGTTAATGTTTGTTCAAGGTTAACATTTGCATCATATCCTTTGATTTGTGCCATGCACATTAAAGTTGTCATGATGTTAGTTTATGAGAATTTGCATTAAATGTGTACAAAAAACACAGGTCATCTTAAATGCTGGACTTCACATCAGCATGCAATTTTTCACCATAAAAAAAAACAAATAAAAAGGACTTTAAACTTTAAAGAAAGTCCGGATTGTTAGAGACTTGCATAAACTATTTCAGTATGCTCCACACAGTATGCAGCAGATGCCAAGAAATCCTGGAATTTTAAGCTACAACAAAGCTCTATTCACTGAGCAAAAAAACATGTATGCATGCACACACATTAGCTGCATGTTTACCTGGCAAAGTTTGAAGGAGAACTAGCACCAGCATAAAGTTTACCAGTAAACTTACAGAACACATCAGTGGTAAATTTCTAATTGCTGGTACAGGGAAGGGGAGCTAGCAGCTAATCAGACCACTGATGAAACCAAGGTTATAGGTTATTTCAGACTTGTTATCCAAACCTCACAGAAGCAGAATTACCCAACACAGGCCAACTTCCTGCTACCAACCCGAAGCATTACAGAAGATTTTATTTTTTTTCACCAATTAGCACAACCAAAATGGTAAGAAAAGCAAACAAGGGTAAACAGATTTTCATTTTGCATACTTTTGGACTGAATATTCTGCTTTATCTAGAATTCCTATTAACTTAGATCCAACTAGATTATCTTCTGAAAATAAAAAAAGGCAAAAACAAGCTAAAAACAGAAATGAGAGTCTTACTTGTTAAGGCATAATTTGGATTCTCCACCTCCAGACGCTGCATCTGAGCATTTAAAAACACTTTGATATCGATCCCATTGGCGAAGGAGGAGTTGTTGAAAAACCTTGATGGTATTTTAGAAGCAATGTCTGGCTCATCTCTACCAAACCCCAGATTATAAAGAATTTCCTCAGGGTCTTCCTCATAGAGGTCTAGCAACTCGGATACGCTGAAAAAACAAATTCAATACATATTTGTGGTTTAATAAAAATATCCGCACACAGACACACATTTTGCTGACAATTTCTTAAAGGTTTTCCATGCGTTTAATTTAGCCAACTGTCTGGAAGTATTCCCCTCCAACAACATTCAAGTTTTGTCGGATGTTTATTTCATAATTGTTCAGTGTCTCAATGTTCTCATCCTGGTAGCTAGTTCCTCATGGGTGTATGACACTGTGCCAAAGGCTGACCACTTCTGTTACTAGTACTCCTGAGTATAGTGTAAAAGCATCCACAACAGCTATGCATCTGTCAGAGAGAACGTGTATTTAAATAAACTGCTGTTTTTTACATTCGTGGTATGAAATATACCCAAAACTTTTTTCCGTTTTGAGAGATTTTCACTTCCCATCTAGCAAAAAGGATGTCCCCAGGACAACAAGTGAGGGCAATCTCCAACAACAACACAGGAAAAAAAGCAAACATTTGTGAACTCCTATCAGCTTTTTATTGTCAGTTTTCCAGTTGCAGATGTTCTCTCATTTACGGTCTGGTAATAGGGAGTCCTCAGAACAGAAAAGGGGAAATCTCTCTTATGGTGCCCCAGATATCAGTAAAACCCCACAGTGGTTCTACTCTTTTCCTTTTTAACCCAGGACTATATAATGAAAAAGAAAAAAGAAAAAAGAAGGAAGGTTTATTTATAAGTACACACGCACTGCAAGGTGCTCTGTTTGCCCAGGGAGCTAAAATAAAAAAAGTTACTCACCTGGACCACGATCCAAGCTGGCTCCTTCTCTGCTCCCTGCAGCCTGTTTCCTCCTCCACTCCAACGATATGTCCCTCAGTGTCCTAATGTTCTACACATTGTATAGAATGTGATGACTCACATGACCTTAGACCATCCGAGTGGAGAGAGAGCAAGGCTGAAGGCACTGGTCTAAGAGCAAGCCAGGATCACAGTTTGGGTACATATATCTGTTATTTCAGCTCCCTAGAATAAACGAGCACTTAACTCTTGCAATGCAAGGGTAAAGATTTTATTTGCCAGGAGCTCTGCTTTATTACTTTAATATTCATTAAGCACAGCCCTCTTTTTAGTGGTTCCCTCACACGTTGTGGTCTGGAGCACAAATAGGCAGAAGCTCCCAGATGGCCTCCAGGCAATGTCTTACCCCTGTAAGTAGCTGTCTTACTAGAGATGCTTTATGGTAGACCTACAGCAAGTTTGCATTGGTGGAAATGAGAAAAAAAAATCCATGTGAAGACCTACATAATTATGGAAAGCAGTGTACTAGACAGGATCTGTATATAGATTTTTGGGAAACTCAGACTACGGGGAAAGCAATTCTTGTACAATGCAACATTAAATTATAATTGGCTTTACTTATAAATGGTGTTCCTTTGTCTACACACAAACTGTTCAAGAAGGCATCCTAAGCGGCTAGTACACATCCTTGGCTTTCAAAATGTAAACTCCAGCACATCACAGGAGACCTGAACCTTTGGCAAACTCTGCATGCAAATACCAACTTTGTTCTAAGTCAAATCTCAGGCATGTATACCATAATGCAATGCAGATGCTTCAGAGAGGCAATGTTTTCACACTTTCTTGCTGTGTATTTCAGCAAATTCTGGGGTTTTAAAGAAACCTGTGTGGAAAAACAAAAAAATGTACAAAACTACCATTGCCGACTTTCTTCTGAAAATATTAGTTGCTTAGCATAATGCTGATGTAAGGACTTTAATACTGACCTGGACCAGAATGCAGAAGGCCAATACAACAGCCAAGCAACTAGTGTTTTTAGAAGGCGGTCTTTAAAGTCAGCTTCATCTCAACATAGGTTTCCTTGAACTACAGTCCAGGGTTATCCCATTTATTACATGTAGTATCATAAATCCCAGACTATACAAAGATTTAGTCCAATTCTGCCCCTCTGTTTAGTCCTGAACATCAACAGTCCTATCACATGGGCAGGAAAAATGCCTTTTTTTCCTCTAACTTAATCTGCACCAAATGAGCCCCACTCACAAATCAGTCTTAGGAGGATTATAGACATCAATAAATCAGAACTCTTTCAAGGAATGCAACAGTTCTTGCATACTGTATGCTTGGAATTAAAGAAGCAGGAGGCCCCTGGAAAAGCAGTCATTCAGAAAGGGGTTTGATATTTACAGAGATGGTTAAACCATTTTGAAAACCTACAAATTTTACTTTACATGTTAATAACCTTACAGAGCCGCTGTCGGCTCTCTAAATACAGAAATGTCAGAACCCTGCAAAACAGACCGTATACTCACCGCTTAAGGTGTAACATGAAACCTGGTCACAGCACCAGCCCCACCTACCTGAACCACAGGGTTCTTCCCTACTCAGCCAACACAACTGCATCATCCATTCATAGATCTACAGGATCTGTGACTTGGGACACTACAAGTTCTGTCTGCCACCGTGGCAGGGGGACTTGTAATTCTCTATGGAATACAAGTGCAGTGATGTCACTGCACGTGTGATCCATTCGTACTTCTTCCTGTCTCTTAGCTGAATGTACATACCTTAGTAAGGAGAGGAGGCTAGGAGGAAGGAAGCCAGAGCATGTCACCTGCAATCTACTGATCACAGTTGCATTGCTTTACAGGCTCCAATGCAAAAAATAATAAATGCACACTAACTAAGAATGTGCGCACATTAATATTTTTTATTTGTAAAAAGGTGGAACTTGACTTGAAATATTTAGAGATTTGACAGGGTGCGTCTTTAAAGTGGCTTTCATTGCCTGTAGCTGAATTACACAGACACAGTACATCAGGGGTCTCAAAGTACCGGCCCGCAGCCAGCTGACAAGTCGGGCACACGATCATGGACCGACTTGCGGGGGCAGCTACATGGTCTGCATCTCTGTCGGATCCAGACTGCAGAGCTGCTCCTGTCAGCTTCCGGCCGGAGCTCTGTCAGTTCTGAGCTCCGGCTGAATGATGGATGATGGATGATAATGACAGCCGCAGCATGTACACCGCATATAAATCGTATGTGATATGATTACATGCATTACAAAAAACAATCACTATCCCTGGATACACAGTTGTGTATCCAGGGATAGTGATTGATTACTAACTGCATGTAATCCTTTCACATATTACATGCGGTGTGCAGGCGTTTACATGCAGCAGCTGTCACCCGATCATTAATTTGAATCGGTGACAGTTGCCGCTTGTAACATGTGCATACAGTATATAGTAGCGGCCCCCATGGGACTAAAAAAATTATCCAGTGGCCCCCGACTAATTTGAGTTTGAGACCCCCTGCTGTACATCGTTGCGGAAGACATTTCACCGTTTCATTATTGCCATCTTTGTTCTAACTGCCAGCATTTAAAAGACGATTTGAGAAAAATAAAGACAGTAGCATCAGCACCACTAAGGACTGCCAGCAAACTGGTGTTTTGATCTGAAAAAAGAACATCTGCGAAAACGTGACAAAACTGCCATTGTTATATGGGAGTAGCAGCTTCTAACGACCAAACACTTCCTGCACAAGAAGGCTGCACTGGCCAACAGCACAAGTGTAAAAATATAAAACAGGAAACGTACTAGCTTCCAACATAAAAGAGAAGAACAGTTATATTTTGGGTGCCATAAATGTAGGGAATCAAATCGAAGGATTATGCGTCCTTGCTTTTTGAAGATAAGAAAGTACAAATATTTACATGGTGTTGTTTTACTTCAATTCTGATCTAATGGAAAAAGGTGTAGTTTTAAGAGGAGGAGCTGCTGCAATTTAGAATAACCAATGAACATTTAGGTTTATTTTATCATGCAATAGGAGAAAAGTGTTAAAACTATTCTTTTGTATACAACTGACCACAACCAGTATGCAGGCAAGAAAAGCAAGCATTACAGGAAAGGTTAAAGGGTTTCTAAACCCTCTGTTATTTCTTTGCATATATCTACTGCTAGCAAGCAGTAGATATATGCAAAAGGTTTTTTAAAAAACGCTTTAAAAAAAACTTACCGCTGTTCTTGTCACGCGCTCCCGTCCGAAAATCCAAAACTGCTCGGGGGCCGCAAAGCATTTTGGGGCGGGCGCATGCGCCATTCGGATTTTCGGCCGGGAGACGAGGAGAGACACAAAGTAAGTCTATGGACAGGTGCACCCGCATGTAGACACCGTGGGACAGCAAGGACAGAGGAGTCAGCGCTGGATCGGAGACCCGCCGCAGCGCTGGAGAGAAGGCTGAAAAGGACAGGAAAGAAGAGGAAGATCGGATTAAGAGACATCATTTAAGGTAAGTGTTTTACTTAACATTGGGGGGAGGGGGGAAAATTGACTTTAACATCACTTTAAAACCCCTGGCTTTTTTTTTTGCCGTCCATGTCACCAATAAAAACCCAAATTCCATAGTATCTAAACCAAAAAAACTGGCTTTAGATAAACATTATATTGCAGTGCAGTTATATCATGTGACCAGTTTAAATGTAAACAGTGATCACTAGGGGTCTTCTTAAATACTGATCTATGGAGTTCTTAAACTTCTGTTGATGTAGCAAGTCATTTACAGTGAGCAACATAAAGCTATCTATAGGATAACTTTTATTTGTGTGTATAGAGTGCTGGATCTGACTCTAAGGGGGAAAAAGGTGGTTATTACAGAGGCAGCTTTCCATCACTTGGAGGGGCCTTCAATTGTCCCCAAGGTGGTGTTTTGGCTGCCTAACTGACTGCTGATCCATTACAGCAGCATACACCATGAATGTATTTGCAATAATTCTTGTCCAGATTTACCCTATTTCTTGCTCGCATTTTAAGCCCAATGAGGGGGGAGTTTTTGAGCCCCCGAAAAACACATTGGTTTCATTCTTGTGCAATAGAAGTTTACTGGACTTTTACTATCACTGTGGCACTCCCCCCTTATTTCTTATATCTATATGGACAGGGCAAACTAATGTGAAAAAAGATGCGCTAACATGCAACCAACCAAGCAGAAGTCCCCCCTCAATGAAGACTATTTATGACAGAAGGCAAAAAAAAACTAGAGCTGACACCTATAGCAAACAAGGATTTGTTTCTTCCTGTTAAAGTAAGGAATCTTACAAATTGCTTTATATTTGCATTTGTTATTGTAGCAAAAAGGTTAGCGCCACTCAAAAAGCTCATGATGTTGGTCAAACAAGTGAAAAGTCTTCTTAATGCAACGCTGTTCGAGTCATATCATCAGAGCGATATTCCATGTACTTCAACATGAACAGGACAATCATTTGTAGTTAAGGAATGTAAATGCTGGGATTTTTAATTAAAAATATACCGCTGGCATAAAAAGCTCCCAGCTGTCCTCAGCGAGATTGTTTTAGATGTTACAAGGCAGGGAACATGTAGGGGCAGACCTAAGCAGTCCACAGGCATTGGAAAATACAGTTCTATGTAAATATGAAATGTAACTACCTCCACCCCTTTATTTGGGCGAAAGTATCCTAAAATAGCAAGAAAAAATAAAATTACCTTGATACAGTTGCACTGCTTTTCCCAGATCCCGTAGAGTTCATGCTTCTCCCTTTCTGATGAAACTGAAATCTACGGTCTTTTGCCAGCATTCCGCTGCTTTCAAGAAGAAAGTTATTATAAGCATGCACAATTATCGCCAATGATTTATCAGCAAGTCAATCAGGAACGGGGGGAGGGTTGAAGTATACCACATAATGTGCTACTTACAATGGGTGCTCCATTGGCAAGTTTCTTTCATGGAGATGATTTGCTATAAAACAATGAAGAGAGAAAAGAAAATTAGTCATACTTCTCGGTTACTATAGATACATGCAATTTAATTTTTTAATTGGCAAGGGTTCAGATCACAGAATACTTTCTAAATTGCCCAGCCTGTCAGATCTGTAGGTACATGCCACTTCTAAAATTCTTTCACAGCTCTGTAACAATTAGCAGCAGCTGCCTCATTCGCAGGACAAACCTCAAATCCCCAATAGGTAGCATTTGTTTTATAAAATAAATCCTGTAATTGATTTCACAAATATCAGATTCCTTTCACAGGATAATATGTAGCATGCATGCACTAATCTACTCTTTTAGACAGATGATAACTCGTACGTGTCAATACACGTGTGGCCCTGCAAATCTTAAACTCACTCATTTCACAACCACATATGGAAGTTTTTCAAAGAGCTCAAAAATCATTTTGCAATTTTCTTTAGGAAGGTGTGTGAAACAAAGAACAACTAGGAATAAGTGATGCCAAGATAAACGATGAAACCTTACTGAATTAGCTGTAATACTTATGTTATGTGGACCAATGCGCTAATGTCAATCCTACAAGAACTTTTTATTTTATTTTATTTTTATAGAGATCAGGATGATTCACCACTTGGCTTTCTATAGATCTTGAATGCTATAATAGTAAGAACTCCGTACTATGGTTTCTCTCTGTGCCCATTATTAAAAGAAAATACCGTAAGAGAAAAGGGGATGCCACAAATTAAAGCAAAAGAAGTGAAACACCATCAGCAAGGGCATTGAAGATGAAACGTGGCTGGGTCTTTCAACATGACAATGATGCCAAACATACCACCCGGGCAACGAAGGAGTGGCTTCGTAAGGAGCATTTCAAGGTCCTGGAGTGGCCTAGCCAGTCTCCAGATCTCAACCCCATAGAAAACCTTTGGAGGGAGTTGAAAGTCCGTGTTGCCCAGCAACAGCCCCAAAACATCACTGCTCTAGAGGAGATCTGCATGGAGGAATGGGCCAACATACCAGCAACAGTGTGTGCCAACCTTGTGAAGACGTACAGGACACGTTTGACCTCTGTCATTGCCAACAAAGGATATATAACAAAGTATTGAGATGACCTTTTGATATTGACCAAATACTTATTTTCCACCATAATTTGCAAATAAATTTGTTCCAAATCAGCCAATGTGATTTGTCTGGATTTGTTTTCTCATTTTGTCTCTCATAGTTGAGGTCTACCTATGATGCCAAGTACAGGCCTCTCTCATATTTTTAAGTGGGAGAACTTGCACAATTGGTGGGTGACACAATTGTAATAAAGAAGAGTACATTTGCATCTTGAAGGATTGGGTGCCACTGACTTTTCTGCCATTTTCTTGTCTCAAAGATGCAACACACTAATTATACATAGAACACATTCAATAATTTACTCCAAAATGGAATAAGTCTTATTTACCTCCACTTTCCATATTACCGATATGGCAGTATTTTGTTTGAACTTGCAAAAATAGCACACGACAGTAAAAGTGTTGCAAATAAAAACTATTTAAATTTGTTGTCTGGGGCGGTACCAAGAATGAAAACATTGTAGGGTTTTCATGAATATGCTGCAAGGCTACCGACTACATACACACAGCCAGAAATGTGTCTCAAACGGTTTATTAAAAATTGTCCTGTTTGTATTTTAAGCTGGCCATACACCGCACTATTTTTTTTTTTTTCATTAAACCCATGGGCTGAAAGGATAAAAAAAAAAACCCATGGGCTTAAAAGGATAAAAAAAATAAAAAATAAATAATAGAGCAGATTCCTCCATCAATGCTATGAGCGCATCGACCGAGGAATCCCCGCCTTTACTTTCAGAATACCCGAACAGGCAGCCAATGAGCTGCCGGCTCTGTTCCTACAAAGGTTTTTCAACCGGCTCCTTCGATCAGCTGATCAAGGGATGCCCGCCGAAAGGGTACCGACAGCGGCACCCGCTGTGTGGTTTTTGACGGGTTACTCAAAAACCGGACAGTGTATGGCAAGCTTTACTCTGTTGTCTGTTATGCTGCCTTTGCTGTATAAAGCTAGGAGGAACTTGGTTCTTCTTGAATAGTCATCTTTCAAAGAACTCAGAGCTCAGGTCCAGTGATCAGAAATACTTTAGTCCACTAAATATAAATAAAGCTTATATGTAAATTTATTCAGCCAACAAAACATCCAAAACTGAGAGGATCATTTTTATATGGATCCACCCTTAAGGGTTTAAACATGATCTCATATATAACAGGACAAAAAGCCCAGAAAAGCACAAGAATACTGTGGGTACAAATAAACATAAGTAAGAATGCCAAGTTCATACACGCACTACATACAGTATATATGCATGACTAAAATCACACGGCATTTTGGATCACACCATAGGGTTTAAACCATATTTTAACTTTAACTATTTTAACTCAATCACTAACATGAAAATGTACTTTGCAAAATGAACATGTATTTCATCAAGTAAATTAAGCCCACTGGCATAGCATAGTGTGTTCATGGCATTTAAAGCAAACCTCTACCACAAGGATGGTAAAAATAAAAAAACACAACAAAATCGCTCACCCCTCAGACACCAGACTATAAATAAACCATAACAAGGCTGTAGTTAGCACAGGGGTGGACAAATTAAATATAGAATTCAGGAGCCAGTCTACCCAATCCAGGAGCCAACAGGATTTTTTTTGTAGGAACCAGCTCCATTGACAACTAGAAAAAAAAACCTCAAAGCTAGGAGGCAGCCAGGATTTTTTTTTTTAAGGAGCATTGGCTAGCTACCTGGTTCCTGGGATTTGCCCTGACCTAGCCATACAACTAAATTGATGTGTTACAACATTAGAAATTTTACAGTTTTAAAAATCCAGAACAAGCATATGCTTTTAGAGAAGTCATATGCAATTGATTGATTGCTTGCAGCAGTGAATTCTTGAATCCCAATACAGAACAGTTAAGCTATTGCATTTATTCATACATCAGGAGTTATTCTGTGTGGTGTCTTACCAACGTAGAGCCAAAAGAAAGTAGCCTAGACCATGGCTGCAAAAAGCAGAAATTAAGTTATTCTTCAGGACTAACATGCTGACTTTCGATTACAAAGTTTAGTCTTGAAGAAGAACCTTTAAAATAGAGCTGATGGGTTCTCCAAAGTAAGTAAAGCCAGTTGAGGTGGATTGGGTAGGTTATAGGCTGCCTCAGGCATTCTGCGTAATAACCTGTTCTAGGCCTAAAACAGACGCAAAACATACTGTAGGGTGCTCCAAGTTGGCCCGTAAACATCTTGGAATAAGCAGGGATGATTACCGCAGAATATGACGTATAGATGAGTTAATAGTGATAATAACATGCCAAGTTGATTAACAAGTATCTTTCAGTGATATGACTGCAATAAACACAAGTCCAACTGCCAGTTCACAATCTGCATGTTTGTTTCAAGCTCAGGTTGTACTAATTAGTGAAGGAGAGATCAGGGTGACGAAGGTTTTTCATGGTTCCCATCAAGCAATACAAACATCAGTGACAAAAAGCACCTCGCACCAAACCCTGTGTAGCTGCAAGCACTATAAGAAGTGTTACCCTCTGAATATATCAAATTTTAATGAATGTGCTGCGCTTCATCTAGAACAATACATAAACATATCTCTAAAATAAATATGTGCTTAAATAATACATGCAATCAAAAAAGTGTCCACAACGAATCTTCTTATAAAGAATAGTCCTCTGGAAAGTTCAATCATATATTCCGTGTTCAAATATACACAAATGTGGAATCACACGTATATAGTGCTCAAGATTTGTCTCAAGTGCAGATCAAAACAGGAGCTGTGCTGCCGACCATGCAATCTCCAATCCACGTCTGCGAGACTGAACGACTGCAACGATTGTGGAGAGATGGCCTTTGAATAAGATCGATTGGAGACCCATTAAAGCGATTCTAGACCTGTTCAGGTCTATTTATAAAGTTGAGCGGCCCACTCAGAGGGGGAGCACCTGAGTGATAATTGGAGTTGACGTATGGACTTTGTACAAAGAACTTTCACAGTGGAAGCATAAAGAGTATGGTGCACTTGGGACAAATCTTGAGCACTATATACGTGTGATTCCACTAGAGCTGCAGCTAACGATTATTTTCAAAATTGATTCGTTAGCCAATTATTAAGTTCGATTTATTCGGTTAAAAAATAAAATACATTTTTAAAAATGGCTCCAGTGATGGGACTTCTAGTTTGTATTGAGATTGCAGTTCATCACAGGAGCAAGCTTGGAGCTGTGGAAGTAAAAAAGAAAAAAAGTGTGGGTAACAATATAGTGAAATGAAAAGTGAAAAAAATTATACAGCAATGAATACAGAATGGCACCAGCTAAAGAGGACTCCAAATCCCAGCAACAGTACATTATAGCTGGCGGTATTCTGCATTGGACTGTATAATGTACTATTGCTGGGTTTTGTAGTCCTCTATAGCTAGTGGTATTCGGCATTGCACCACTGTATAATGTACTATTGCTGGGATTTTTTTGTACTCTTCTATAGCTGGTGGTATTCTGCATTGCGCTGTATAATGTATTATCCTTGATTTGTAGTCCTCTATACAGCGCAATGCAGAATACCTCCAGCTATATAGGAGTACAACAAATCCCAGCAATACATTATACATACAGTGTACAATGTATTGCTGGGATTTGCATTCCTCTACAGCTGATGGTACATTGCTCTGTATAATATACAGCACAATGTACCATCAGCTATAGAGGAATAGAAATCCCAGCAATACAATATAGAGCACCATGTGTGGGTGGGAGTGTCTGTGTCCCTGTGCCGATCATGGATTTGGGCGGGCGGTGAGCGTGAGGAGGTGCGGAGCGTGGATGCAGTCGGGTCTGGCAGCGGCGAGCGTGAGGTGGGGAGGAGGTGTGACGTGCAGCCGTGAACAGGGCCAACCAATCAGAAGCCGATTAATCGATGATTGAAAAAGTTGACAACTTTTTCAATCATTGATTATGCCGATTAGTTGTTGCAGCCCTAGATTCCACATTTGTGTATATTTGAACACGGGATATATGATTGAACTTTCCAGAGGACTATTATTTATAAGATGATTCATTGTGAACACTTTTTTGATTGCATGTATTATGTAAGCACATTTATTTTAGAGATTTGTTTATGTATTGTTCTAGATGAAGCGCAGCACATTATAATTTGATATAAAGCGATACAAATATATATAAATTCTACAATGAAATTTACATCCATTAGACCAGGGCTGGACAAATCCCAGGAGCCAGGAAGCCAATGCTCATTAAAAATTACAGATGGCGCCTGACATTTGAGGTTTTCTCTAGGTGTTGTCAATGTAGCTGGCTGCTCCTTGCTGGCTCAGGGATTGCGCAGACTGAATTCCATATGAATTTGTCCATCCCTGCATTAGTGCACGGCAAATTAATTCTATCAAATGAACTCTGTTAAGCTCTGGTTTATCTCTATACTTTTACGCAGGGAACAATGACCCATCAGGTAAATGGTTATCCCATCGTAGCCCAACGAGCTAGCATTTAGCTGGGATCTTGTCATTTCCACTCACATGTGGTCAGACTATTGACAAATAGGCAGCTCTGCTGTGTCAATCATTTACATGGTGCAAAGGTTTAATTTCATGATCATTTTCAGTGTACTGCCACCATTACCCACAGCATATTGATTTAAAATAACATATAGGGCACCAAAAGCTTTACGTGGATTGGACACATGGGGCTATGAAACAGTATTGCTATTTACAAACTACTAAATACTTTGTTTCCTAAGGCTAGACTTTAGCATACCAATCAAATCTCTTCCATAAGAAGCCACAAAGAATAAACTACATATACAGTTGTTATTTGTATTCCTATCGACTTCTAAACAAGAAACCAAACACTGCGGTTAGGATTGCGACCAAAGAAACAAATCTTTTTCACATAACTCTGAACAACGTAAATGGTGTGACAACCGTCAGGTTGCTAGGAAGTTAAGTCTGACTCAAAGGAACAAATTGACAGATCTGGTTCTTGTGCTAATAAAGAAACCAAACAGTCTCAAAAGACGTATCGGCCATTGCAACAAGCCAGGGGTCTCTGTGAAAACGTCATCCTTCCAGTTAATGCTTTATGTCCCAGCTTGCCACAACTTGTAGAAGTAGACAATCAGCTTTACATGCACGCTAAGCATTTCTAGTTTTTTACAATGTTAACTGACAGCAAGTTTAAGAGCAGTCTGGAGCATTAAACACAAAACAATGTATGGCTCTAAAGGAAACCTGTAGTGAAATATGCAGGCTGCCGTTTGCCGACCGCCTTGTGAATATGTTAGCTGTCAGTCTCTGGCTTCAGTGCTTTCATAGTCAGGGCCCATATTAAAACATGCAGCAAGTGAAGTAATTGCACTATTGCCTTATGAAACAATTTCTGAGGCATTATGCTTTGATGAAAAATGTGATCTGAATCTTCCAAACAAACATTAACATGCTCTAGGAAAAACTTCTTCAAAGCATCAGAGAGACAAAACAAGACTCACTTGGACCCTATAAGACTAGGGTTAGCCCCATACATTGTAACATTATAAATTACTACTGCTTTTTGATCATAGCAGAAGAAGTTTATATACAATGCCATCCAACATTGTATTTAATAATATCAGTTTGCCGTGTTTATTAAATCACACAATATGCATACTTGTACAGTAACTGTCATATCAAGAGCTTATTTAGGATCCTGTATGTCCCAATGCTCACTATAAATCAGGACAAATCCTAGGAGTCGGGTAGCCAAAGCTCTTCAACATTACAGCTGTAACCTAACTTTTGAGTTTTTCTCTATTTGTTGTCAATGGAGCCGGCTCCTAAAAAATATCCTGCTGGCTCCTAGAGTCCATATTCATTTGTCCACCCCTGAAATGCAGATGACTACCATCTATATGCCTGGGTAGAAGGGAGCATTCTTCCAAGCATGCCACAGGCTATGACATTTGGAAACAAATCCCTATACATGGAGTCTTTCCTCATCCCCAAACTATAACATCTAAACCAACTCAGTATGCAGATTTAATACAGAATGATCATGTGAAAATGACTTCAGCATGGCAAAGAGCTAATCTAACATCACCTTAAGTGGCATCCTATATCCATGCAAGTACAAACTTGACTGTATGCAAACTCACAAGAATACAGGTTCCTGGAAACCCCCTTTAGACCAGGACCTCCATGTGTACAGTATCCTAGAAAGGTTGTAGACTTCCACTTTCTGGCAAGGCAAAGGTACTTGAAAAGGCTACTTTTTGATGACTATAGCAATTTGCAGACGTGCACACAAAGTACATTATATAAACTGTATTTAGAAGCAATAAAACAAGTGTAAACTTTTTTTGGTGAGAGACTACAGTAACAGAGCCACATGTTGTGCCCTTAATCCCAAGGTTTTTCCCCACTAAGCCTAATCACAGGGTGACTGAGAAATCTAAAGCAGAGCATTGCGAACCCACATTACATAAGGATAACGAACTCTGACAATGAACACAGCCAGCAAGTCTGTACAGGAACATCTTAGACCATTAAAAGGTTAATTAAACCTATTACCTGTTCCAGTGGGATGTGTGTGACTAACCTCGCGCCTTTCACTAGCATTTACAGGTTATTCAAAAGAAGACAAGCTTTGCCCTCCAGAAAGATTTGGTTTAATGTAGTAATTAAGTACCAAGCATGTTGGCAGCATGAGAAACCCTCGCTACAAAAAATGAACAGATATAGACCAACAACTATTTGTTAATTTAGATAAGAAAAGACCCAGTGTTTCCAAAATTGGTTATGCAGTTCAGATTACAACTAAAGATTCAAGATGTCTGCTAAGCGGGCAAATGTACTTTGAGCTGAAAACACACCAATTTTCTTTCCCAACATCGTTTTTTTGTGACAATCGTATGCAGAAATTGAACACATTTACTAGGAGAGTGCCATACGGTAACAGCTGAGCTGCTGCTATCGTTTCAGCGCTCAGCCTAACCCATACATTAAACCAAATTATTCCAAATTACATTTAAAACGTTGTGACTGCCTTCAGAAATATCAGAAACGCCCTGAAAGTATCTTTTTGTCAGCACTAGACAGGACCTGAAACTTCTGTTGAAGACCTGAACTGAATTCCTGTAAACCCGTCTCTAGTACTGTGCAGACTGTTCCCCCTGCCCCATAGACTACAAAGGGAAAAGCAGACTCACCTTCAGCCCCGAGAGACAAGTCATCTTCAAAACTGCAGCCATTTTTTAAAATCATTCCTGGGGAGAAAAATACAAACATGAACACCCGGTCAGAACTGCCACATGTTTGTCTTGTTACTGTATCAGATGCCTGCAGCGTACTGAAGGTCAGTGTTCAGCTGAACTAAGCACAGTTCAAACAAGACAAAAAAAAAAAAAACTGGCTGATCATGCAACATGTTTCACTTCCGCACTGCAAAGATTGAGTCAAGAAAAAAAAAATCATTATCATTCCCAGCATATTCCTGCTTTACTTTCTACCGCGGTCCTTCTGCACATTGTTAGGAAAGTTAGACAGGTGGGGCAAGTTCAGAGAATACGATACATAGTTTGCAAACAGTGCAAAGGAAAAAAAAAAAAAGGACTCATAAATCAATCTCAGCTACATTGTAAACGCTACATGATGAATTACTTTATAGACACTGAGACATATTATACATTCATAGAGATTATACATATCCCTAGACTGACTCCCTTTTGATAGAGGAGGACTCTGGGAAAACAACAACAAAAAAACACCCTTGCAGCAGGGCTACCCCTGCTCTGCAATGGTTATAAAGAACTCAAGGCAGAAATTTTATTAACCCTTGCTGTGGGGCTACCTCTGCACTGCAAGGGTTAACTGCTTGTTTTTTCCTAGGGTCAAAAAAAAAGTTCTACTCACCCGATCTTTAGAGCTCCCTCCAGCCTCTCTCTTCCTCTACTACAGCAATGATATGTGGCTCGGCATCCTCAAGTCCCATACACTGTATATAGGACTTGATGGCTTAGGAACCTTAGACCGCTGCAGCAGGGGGGGGACGCTCCAGGGACCGTTCTAAGAGCAAGACGTCTCCACAGATCGGGCAAGTATAATTTGTTTAGGGTTTTTTTTTTTACCCTAAGGAAAAAAATGAGCATTGGGGTAGGCCCACTGCAACGGTTGTGCCCAGGGTCCTTCTTTAAGTGCTCATTTTTGTTAAGGGGGCTAAAAAAAATAAAAACAAACAAACAAACATGTTTTCTCACCCGATCCTCAGCCCCTATGGGCTGCTAGACCGGTCCCTCTTCTCTTCTGGGCTCTGGCGGTCTATGGATTGCCAACTTCATCACATCTAATGCAGGTTCATTGACCTGCATAAGACATGAGGACGCTGATAAACATTCCAAAGCTGGGAGCGGAGGGGGAGAGATGCGAGTTCTGACCACCACAAGAATGGCACTCGGCATCTCAGCACCGCTTTATTTTAACCCCCTAGGCCAGGGGTAGGCAACTTTGGCTCTCCAGCTGTGCTGAAACTACAAATCCCATAAGGCTGCTGCCTCTGGGAGTCATGCCAGTGGCTTGCAATGCCTTATAGGATTTGCAGGTACTGCAAGGGTAAGTTTTTCTTCTACCCAGCGTTCTTCTTTCAAGTGTAACTGAAGTCAAAACCTACTTATTCGTTGTGGATAGAGTGGAGAGTGATTAGACCACCTGTCAGTTTTTTATTGTTGTCTGTGTCCCCGTTAGGGAGATTCACCCTTTTTCTTCCTGGGGACAGTTATCACTAAAAACGAAAGATCAGAACAGTAACAGAACTGGAATAGATGGGAAATATTTCAATGGGTACAGTTCTGGTGACCCTGCTGACCACTTTCGCTCTCTTTAGGAGGGATTTCTTCTCACTTCCCATTGTGGCTTTCAGACTCGAAGGGAAATCTCCCCAATGGGACACAGATGGCAAATAAAAAGCCAAAAGGGGTTTTAACCCTCCCTTGCTCCAACCAAAACTAAAACATTTTTGGCATGACTTTAAAACACAAAAAACAATTTGGATATTTTTAAAAGATATCTTAAATTAAATTCACCCTGCTAGAAAATGTTAGAATTAGATATATTTACTCAGCCATCTACAAAGTAGAAGAAGCGAACTTTAACCAATGTTAAGTATACTTTTCATAAAAGATGAGCTGGGGGCACTTGAGAAAAATTGACTTTGGTGATGGTGGTGGAGGTATACCATAGATGGAATTGAAAATATTGGTCCTGCACAAGTTAGCAGTATCAGGGCAAATTCAAGCAGCAGTGACCTGTTGAACTATTGCCATACATTAGAGAACAAAAAAACAGACAGGCAAGTACCGTATTTTTCCGTCTATAAGACACCCACATGTATAGGACGCCCCCCACTTTTCTTACCCAAAATTCAGAAATCAATATTTTCCATGCTCTTTTGCATGACTGATTACATCCAGTTTAAATTTTGCAGAGTAAGACAGCCGCTTACTGGTACCGGTATTTATTTTTGTTTTCTGACATTTTTATGGGCTCCCTGTTGTGTCTGGGCACTGGCTACACGCTCTCCGCAGCATCCGCTGACGTCAGGTCCATAAGGCTTATGATTGGAGGAAACCTGTTAGCTTTCACTCGTGAGGCTAGTTTGCAGAGGTATCAGCAGTTTCGCAAACGTGGTACTCCTCTCGGCCCCCCGTGTATAAGACGCCCCTCCATTTTTAGTTAAATATTTTTAAAGAAAAAGTATAGTCTTATACATGGAAAAATACAGTATCTATGGAGGGAGCCATTGTCATCACCCAATCTGGACTACAAACATGTTTTCATTTGTTCATCTCTACAATATAGTGGGGGATTAGTAGTTCACAGAAGATTGACAACATTCAGTGCATCTCAGAGGAAGTGACAAGGACACCGTTTCTGGCAAGATCAACAGGTTTTTTCGGTACATGTTGAAAAAAGGAAAAAAACTAGTGCAGCCACTACATCGAATGACTGGTAACCGCACTACGTTACATTTTCATTATTGGGTTTGATCACCTATGTCAGCTTTTATTGCCATCTGTAAGCACTCAGGAGCGAGGTCACCTCACTTCCTGTTCCTGTGATCAAAAAACAGGAAGTGAGAACAAATCTCCCTCAACTGAAAAAATCCCACCTTCGACTTATATCATCAACATAGGTCTTCCCACTGAGGGCACATTCACAGCAATGCATTTTAAAGCACATGTTTTATATTGCATGTACACAGGTTATCCATTGATTTAAATGGTGCTTGTTCACAGCTGTGCAATGTATGTTGGCTGAAAGGGTAAACAATTCATCCCCACACAGCTACCTCCTCATGTATCACTTCCCCCTTCCTTTTAGACTGTAAGCCCTCGGGGGCAGGGCCCTCCTTACCATATGGTCTTGAAATGTATTGTGATTGTAATGTCTTCCTTCTATTGTAAAGTCCTGCGCAAACTGTTGGCTCTATATAAATCCTGTATTATTAGAATAATAAATAATGGGTTATGTCTTTCTTTTTGATGCGTCAATGTGTGGTAAAAGGGCCTCCTTTGTGACAACGGCAGCGCATGAAAACACGTGCTGACAATGCATATAAAAAGTATACAAAAAAGGGGCACACAAAGGAATGAATCTATCCACGACGGTCAATGCGGTCTCTCTATTCACTTTCTGTGCTGCTGGCAGTTTGGGAAGCTAGCTCTAATCTCGCTTATCAAACGGGACCTCAGAGAGATAAGAACTAAAGCTCACCACATGTTACAATCTGATTGCACAACTAGTATATAGTCTAGTTCGAGGACCTACCTGACTGGATACAAACTGGTTGGGTAGTTCAGGTAGGTTGTTATATTTTCATTGTTTTGGTAGAGCTAAAGCTGATTTTACAGAGATTGTACAGTCATACTGTAATGTGTGTGGTGAGCCCTGGGGGAATCTTCCCACTGAAAACACTAATAAAAAAAATAAAAAAACTGACAAAAAAAAAGGGGCTAACCCTTCCCCACTCTTCAAAACTAAAAAGAAAGGTGTTGCCAGAGTTTCTCTATAACTTTCAGGACACCATTATATAAACATACTTTAATTTTATTAGAAATATTGCACATATCTATATTTCTATCACATATTTATATCACATATTTAAACAGTTTTATTTTATTTGAGCCTATTCGCAGTGTTTGAGGTGTGGGAAACTCTGCACCTGTTCTAGAGTTTAAATGTAATCCAAAGATGCATTCTGTTTTGTATAAAACACACTGTACAAACAGCTTCCATTAACTGCTCTGTCAGCAAACATATCAAGCAATTTGCAGAACTGTCACTTACCCTTCGGAAAGCCTGCTGGATTGGTCTGTTCATCCAGGGACGCTCCCAGCGGCGTTCTGAAAAACCACAAGTTTGCCCAATTTAGTCTAGTTCTTAAGAAAAATTATTTCACATCCTTCCCGTTACCCATACGAAGTACGAGATAACAAGGGTGGGGGCCAAACACTTCTGTAGAAACTGATTATTAAGAAAGACTAAAAAAGGAGAAGAAAAAAAACACAGTTCTCTATACACGTACAGTATATGTATGCATTTATATTTTAGATAAAGCAATCTTTAAGCTGGCCATACATGGATCAAGCTTCTGCGGTTTCCTGCAGAATCGTCCACAATTCGATCTATGGAGGTGAGCGGAACATTATCAGCCGCAGGCACTGTTCCAGTACTGTGACAGCCAGGGGCGAGAGCTGTCAGAATACAAAAGCCGGCAACGAAGATTTCTCCATATATGCGATTTAGTGTAGACAGGGAAATGAAGTTATTTCTCTCATTAGAAGGTGTATGACTAGCTTTAATGGGGTTTCCTGCTTGGTTTCTGGTTTATCCCTTCCTCTTCCCAGATCACATTCTCCTGTACTTAGATCTTGCTGCCCTTAAAGCAGAACTTCAGGCCCAGATGTTCTACCCTGCGTTGCAAGGGTTAAGTGCTTGTTTTTATAGAGGTGCTGTGAACCCAAACCTCATCCCAGGGAGGTTAGCGATTACTTGTTTTAAAGCTCATTTGTTGATCGGCTAGAATATGTAAATACCGGAGTGTCCATATTTTGACCACACATTCAGCAATACCAGATGCTTTATGTGCAATTTTATACATGACATCTTAAAGTGACACTACACGCAGAAGTTAAATCTTAAAAATGCATTCAAGTACCTTAGCCAGTAACAAAAATGTATCTTATTTGAGTATCACTCGGCTGTAGATCCTCAAATAATCTCTGAATTGGGGGTGACACTGTCCTTCCTTCTGGAGGGGGGCTACTTTTGCTCCCCATGGTCCCTGTGTGTTTTAGCGAGCTTGGAGCGGTGGGCCACAAGCTCGCTCCTGTGATATAACTTCAATACAAATTAGTACACTAAAAAGGTGAGATTGTAGCCCATGACACGAGTGAGCTTGGGGCGGTGGCTACTTTACAACACACGCAGGGACCATGGGGAGCAAAAGTAGCCACCCTCCAAAAAGGAAGGACAGTGTCAGCACCACTTCAGAGATGATTTGAGGATCTACAGCTGAGTGATACACAAATAAGATACATTATTGTTAATAGTTAAGGTACTTGCATTTTTAAGATTTAACTCCTGAGTGTAGTATCACTTCAAAGTAAAGCTCTAGGCAGACAGCGGACTATAGGATACATACATACATGTTTTATATGCCAAAGGATTTGTAATTGTGTACACTAAATGCCCCACCACCACCACCGTCTTGTACAGCAAGCCAGGTGACCATGTTTTTGGTTCAGATTTCTAGCCTTCAGGGTGAAATCTCTGCCTCCAGCTTGGTCAGTAAATAAGGAATTAGAATCATAATCTGCCATATAAACGGCGAAGTAACACAGAAAGCACAGAAAGACTTGGCTGGAGGTATAGAAGGGGAAGGGACAGATTCGATGGCAATGAAAACAGGTCCCTATTTGCATAGCTGGATGACCCCGTAGTTGGGGCATATGCATATGGGGCTCAGTAGAAGTAAAGCAATCCATCGTGCAAGACCCTGGAGGTGCCTGGCAACCAACGTGAGCGTTTCACTTTTATTATTGCTGGCAAAGGTTGGGCCGACTTGTTTCCATAGTCAGTTTGTCTCAGCCAGCCCTATCTTAAAAAAGAAAAAAAAAAGTCAGCCAACAGCTTATTATAGGCAAACTAGCTTTGCGTGCAAGGCAACTCTGTATATAAAACACCAGTAGTTATGTACAGAAATCCCAGTACACACATTAGTGTATAATCCACAAATAAAGCTCTACATGGTCAATTCAACACTCCACATTTTTTCACAATTAAAAACTTTTTAAATCTAAGATTTCAATTCACGTGCAATATTGTATAACTGAGGATTTTTTTCCCATTGTTTAAATACATCTAGAGACAAAAGTTTGATTCTAATTGTGTAGAAGAAGTTATAAAAAACCCGGTCAAGATTTTACTGATGAGATTTACCCCCATTGTCTTAGTGACTGTTATCACAGGACAAAAAGTGATCTGAAATTCACAAATGGTATAGTGGTCATGGGGAGCAAGAAGTGCGGTGAAATCTTCCACGGAATAACCTGTTCTGGTGACAAACTGAATAAAAGAGGATTTCACCTCACTTGGGAAAGATTTCTGCTTATAACCATGTCTTCAAAACAGGAAGTAATGAGAAATCGTCCCTCCGAGAAACAGAAGGCAAAGAAAAACCTGACACTGGATTAGGCTGGCTTTTAATGGGTTGCTGTACTGTTCTCTTTAACCTGCATTACCACAACTCCGGTTGGTTTTGTGGTTAGAATGTACAAGTGGGCCCCAATTTATTTGGGCTCCCACTTTCATGGGATTGTGGCGGTCTTAGTTCATTTTTGTGTGGTAAACATGTTATGGGCGTTAATGGTCTGTTAATTCATGTAATAAAAAATAAAATATGCTTATACATATATATTTATTTTATATTATAAAGTGTATTCCCCTTTAAAAAAATAAAAAAAATCACTTGTGAGTTTGAGCGGGAAAACCCTTGACTCGTGCCGGTTCTAGAAGATTCCAGGGCTTTGCAATGTGTGTTCCCCTTTAAGGCACCTGTTGGGAGGCGGGAAAATATGCTTTTATATGGTAGTGTCACCTCTGTTATGGAGGGGGATTTTAAGTATGGTTTAGAATGGTTTAGTTATTGCTTGAGTTTTGTGACTGAGCAATCTACGTTTGGTTTGATGGTTTAAGATGTAACGGTTTTGATTAAATTCAGTTTTAAAGAAGAATTAAACCAATAAAAGTGCTGCGGCCATTTTTGTTCCAAATATTTGGTGTCTGTGTCATTTATTTATTAGTATAGTACCGCCTGCAATTCCATAGCACCCCCAACATGCATACACAGTAGCTGGCAACAAACCTGCAGTACATTAGTGCATTGTAAAGCTGGAAATTACGCAGACCCAGTTTTTCCAGTGTAAGGGTGAACTGCCAGCCCATTTAAAACACAAATGGACTGTCCTAATGCATCACACCTTAACCCACAGAAGCTGCGCTTTGCAGTGCGTATTTTGTGGCCAAAGCCCAAGCAGTAATGCTTATGAATTGACATTTACACTGCAAAAGCCAAATACATTACTTGCATATGCTAAATTCAGCTTATTTGTGGTAACACTGTAAATAAAACAAAACAAAAAAAAAAAAAAACACTATAATAAAATCACCACAGACATTATGCTGTAGTGAATGGACCCATCTATTTCAGTAATTATACACATAACAGACTCTGTGGTAAAATTATCCAACGTGCTGGCTGGAGGCAAACATACAGTGGACGTGGCTCATAGCATGCATACCAACGCCAGTATAAGTTTATATTCTTGTAGTCTGGCATTTCAATATTTGCATACCCCCTGCCTTTTGATACAACTGGCCAATGTAACATTGATATTGTGCTAAACAAGTCTGCGGTAAGAAAAGACAAGCCACTGCATTCAGTGGATTGTGGGTGCAATGCTGGCTCCTGCACACTGTTCCTCCAGCCCTAAGTCCATGCAGAGGTACAACTCTCAGTCATGGGGCTAGAGAAGTAATCATTGGACTACAAGTACAGTGACATCAACACACTTGTGTTCCATTGAGAACTAAGAGCCCTCTGGACTAGCCTCTTGTTGAAGTGGATGGTGTCAGCAAGGCTACCCACAACTCAAGTTATTGCCAATTCAGAAGGAATCGCAAAGGTTCCATACCAAAAGATTTGGGGGCCTGGTTCACACCGGAGTGTTTTTTTCGTGTGGATCTAGTCGTGTGAAAACCTGCATAAAACACACATTTCTATGCAAGCTAATGGTGACTGTTCTAAATAAATAATCACTCAACACTCTTAATTTAATTGGCATTAATTGGCCGCGGCATTTTTATTGGATAAATATTAAATCATACTCTAATAACCAATCTTAATAATCAACCAATAACTCTTATACTTCCACCATATTGCCCAGTTTTCGAAACTCGAGCAATATATCAATCAAGGGAATAGTCCCCCTTTCCTGAGGTGACAAACCACATAAAAATACCGCGACTAGGGAGGGAAGCTTCAAAACGGGTTTCCAACTGGATGATTTTAAACATCTCGGCACCTCCTTATATAGGGCCTAATCCCAATTGACATCCATTCTCGTGGCGATGTTTTCCCGCCAAAATAACGCCTTTTCCCGCCGAAAAAATCCACCGTTGGATACTCTTAAAGAGGCAGTGCACTAAAATACAAAAACTGGGGGAAAAACACCAAAAATGCATCTAACCTAAAGTCCCTACATTCCCATGAAAATGGGCATCTAAGGGATGCCATTTATACAGGAGCTATTTTCAGGCAGATGTCGCACAGTTTTGGTCCCATAGACATCTCTACTCAAAAGGAAAAAAATTTGCGCGAAAACTGAAAAACGCCTAGGTGTGAACCAGGCCTAAATGGGAGCATCATCGGGGCTGGCTGTGAAAATAAGGATGAGACAGCTTACTCCCAATTCTTAGAGATTCAAGATGGCAGCATAGGTTAATATGTGGCCATAGAGAAAAAGCCAGGATTGCCTTGTCTTGCAAGTGTTTTTCCTGGATCAACGCACATCAAAGGCAAGTGGAATATAGGGAATGATTTTCTTGTATGAAGTTATGGCCATCTTAACAGAATGCTAATGTTTTGTGAATGTCAGTAGTTCGTAAAATGGCCGTTGCGATCAGTTGTGTTATCACACTAAGCATATTTCCCCATATAACACACTAGGATTATCACTGCGGCTAACAAATTGGCCCATCAGAGCTTGGTAAATATGTCTGAGTCAATACAGAACACTTAAGTTGCTCAATGAATATGCAGAGTCATTACTGACAATCATTG